CTTGCATCATAGCAAAACTGAACAACAAATACTTAAGAGACCAGAAAATACACTACAAATAAAAATCATGGCATGAAAGAAAACATTTAAACAGTTCAATACAATACAGGGAACTTAACCAGGAAAAGTCACAGAGCAGACAAAGGAAATTGGGCTTTGACAGCTCCTAAGACTTACGGGAGATTATCCAGTGAGGACACAATGGAGTTCAGGACCTTATCTGTGGCCGAACGCAGTGTCTGACTGGAAGCCTGCAGCCTGTTGCGTACTTCCTCATGTGACATGGCCTGCTCAGGAGTCACTTCGTAAGGCAGCTTGCTAAGGGGCAGCAGAAGATGCATGTGTAAAGTTCACTGCTTTATGCTTTTTCACCTGAATTTTAAATGCTGGATACCTCCAGCTAATTCAAAATTCAATTAGGATAACAAGCCATTTAAAAAATTTCTTCAGAAAGCTGAAATTTCAAGATGAGAAAAAACACAAAATAAAAAAAATAAACTGAAAAAATTATCACATGAACTAAATAAACAGCTGAGAAACAAAGTTATTTGTTTTTACTCTACTTACTTTTGTCTCATAATAAAATTTATTTGATACCTGAAATATTTAAGTGCAAAAAGCCAGGGGTAACCAAGTATGCTGGCAGTCTCCTTACCTGGCCTCTCCAGTAGCACTTTCCAGCTGGTTGACCCAGGCTTTGTAGACCTCAACAGGGTTTGTGTTGAGGCCTAAGCTCTTGTCCTCAATGATGTCTTTAATGACTGGAGCCAACAGCTGTCTGAGGGTGTTGTGACCACGTGCACCTCTGTTGAAGCTCACCACCATCTTGATAACTGTTGGATTGCCTGTCACTATGTCCTGGATCTGGTCCACCTTAGAACTGAGACACGCAGAGAAGATAGTAAAGGACTTTATAGGCACTCATTTACCGTTAGTAGTAGGTTATAGTTGAGTAAAATAAGTGTAAACTAGCTACAGTGAACTCTCATGGTATAGCATTATATGGAGCCACAATACTCACTTGATTTCCTCTTCTAGAGCAGTCTTGAAGAGTTTGAGCAGCAGGTATTCCTCTCTCTGGTTAGAGGCATAGTTGTAGAGTGTGAAGATCACAGTGTCCATAAACTTGGTGGACTTGTTTTGGGGCATCTGGAAGATCAGCTTAGCCAGGTAGGATGGATTGGTCTAAAGATAATGGAAGAGAAAGCAAGCACAGTGTTAGGCGACTAGAAGTGAAACTGAATGAGTTCATTTAAAGTTGATGAGGCAGAGTAATGCTTCTATTCCAATGGTTTGGTGACACTGAAGTTGTCCTTTACTGTCTATTGAGTTTAGAACCAAATGTAGTGGAAATTGGACACTATTTCCCCCCCCCAAAAAAAAAAAAAAAAACCTACGGGGGATGAATTATACAAGTTGCATCTGCGAATTATCTACAAATATCTTCCAAATAACTTTGGGACCAGCAGTATTTTGAGTCTTTTTCAGTTGAAATGCCATGACTAGTTTTATATCACGAACTGGGCGAGTGGAAAAAGAAATCAGACACATTTTTCATACCTGTAGTAGATAAAAGAGATGTTGGTAGGCCTCGAGTTTCCGTCTTTTGCCTTTACTCAGGCCCTTAATACCAAGTCTGTCTCCTGCCGTCGGGTCCTCTTTACTCGCCTTATTTTTCTTGCTCTTCATTTTCTTATTATGGGACACGACATCCTTTTCAAAGAAACAAAAAGTTAAATAGGAGATTGGCTGGATAATAGATAAAGAAACTTCTTCAGATTTTAGTATCAACAACATTTTACTCAAACTATAAATGATTTCAACCCATTTTTATTAACTTTCCGTTTTCCTGTCACGTATTAATTAGAGGTGACGGCAACCTGCAGAGTGATCCTGTTCTTCACTAGCAGTCCAATCTTTATATCCATTAGGTTCAAATCTTTCTCCATCTGTTGATTGGAGCGAATCTTTGTGACTACTTCCTCCCGAAGCCGTGTCACTTCCTGCTCTTCCTGTAGATCCAGAGGGCTCTGCTCCAACAAGTGGACAAATTTACGCACCACTGACAGAGGAGGATCCTTGGCTCCAGCTGAGAGTTGGTGTAAAAAATAAAGTCAGCAACAAATGCAATTTGCAAGTTTATCCTTCATCATGTTCTGCATTTATATTACTGTCTGTGCTTGTCAGCTGTGTTTTTCATATTATATATATTATCATCAGAACTGAACAATATTTTTGGCTTGACTGTGGAAAAATTGGGGGAAGAAAATTGCAAATAATGTGGTTGTTCAAAAATTTGTGACTCGCTGTAAGTTGCAATCCTCTAAAACTGGCGAAACATGCATCAAGACCATAATTTCATATTCAAACGCAGATCTAAATTCTTTATGACTCACTTAGCGTCCTGTAGTCCTCTCTGGCTTTGTTGGCCTTCAGAAAAGCTTGGATTTTCACAATTTCTTTTTCCTAAACACAAAAATGAATCAGAGTTTTAGGAAGCATGAAAACAAACCCAAATCCTGCACCTGAGCAATGCCAATGAAGTATTACTTACATGATCTTTGAAGAACTGTTGCCTCTGATTGTATTCACGTTTTGCTTTCCACATCTTTACAAAAGACTGGATCTAAATAAAATAAAGTATTTAAACAGTTATAAAAAAATATATACCAGGCGTTTGATGCAGCAGCTATGTTGCTAATGTTATTCACAGGTCAATTAGTGTTAATAAGTGTTAAAAATCCCAATTAATATTCTCCTGTTTCAGTCTGTCATTCATAACAAAAATAATTCATCACCTTGACAATGGAAGCAACATTTTTCTGAAGCAAAGTCATCCTCTCTTTATACACTTTCCTCTGTTTGTAACCTTTCCAACAAGCCTGCAAAAAAAGGAAAAACTGAGACAAACATGTACAAGCAACAACAAGTTCGGCATCAGCTTCACCACAAATCAGTTTATGAAGCTTAGTCATGAAGTTTAGACATCAGTTTTCTAAAGACATTGTTGTCATTGTTGGTTTGTCTTCTAAGAAGATGCAAACAAAAATATGCAGTCAGTACAGTGGTTGTAATTTAATGTAAGTATATAGCTACCTTTGCTTATGATTTGTTTGTGCTTGGATAAGCCCTAGACATCCAGAATCAATGAGGAATATTTGACTAATTACTAAGTACACTTTATAGAGGTTCTATAAGCTACCTGCAGTTTTATGACATGTGGTTCTTGCTGATGCAGATACTCCATTCTCTGGACGTGCCTCTTCCTGACCAGGTAACCTCTGACTCTTGCCTGCAGCTTGGTCATAAAGCACTCATTGGCCAGCCATAGCTGTTCCCTGTTATACTCAGCAGTCACACAGGTCACCACATTCTGAGGGAAAAACCAAGCATACCCCACAGCAGCATGAAAATTGTTTGTTTAGATGCAATCCAAGTATAAACAAATCTCACTACTGTTAAAGTAAAAATGAAATCAGCCCAATCAATGGGAAACGTTAATAAAGCTTTATAATCAAGGGGTAGCACCTGGATTTCTTCTTTACTGAGATGTCCGCTGTTCTGTTCAAACCCTTCAGGCTCCTCCCAGGTGCCCTGTTCAGTTTCCAGGTTATAGAAATAGTCATATTTGTCCTTGATGCAGTGTTTTACCCACACACCATCAGTGCTGCCTGGAGGAAAGCAGAAAGTGCTTTTTAAAAAGTCTGTTGGTGTAAATCTGACAAATTCTCAACTTCTCACTGGAGTTTCTTGAACAGAAAGCACACTTGCTGTCCCACAGATGTAAACCCTGTTACCTTTGGCAGCACAGTCTCGTTGTTTCTGTGAAAGGTCATCTTGGTACGTGTCAGCACATTCAGGAAGAACTGCTCTCAGCCCTACACTGGGAGCCTGCAAAGCCTCCAGTGTATTCTGGGAGTCCCCCTCATTCACTGTCTTGTTAATATGAGCTACTGCTCCAGACACTAGCAATGCAAAGCAAAAAGAAAAACCACTGGTGTCAGCTTCACAACGCTATTGGGTCAAATAAAACAACAGTATACAGTAAAAGTACAATGTGAACACACTGAGTAGTGTACAGGAAAATAAATTTAAATGAATTAAACATCAAATGAATTACATTCACATTTTTTATTGTTTTTTTTTTTTTCAATAGTTCATTTCTACGTCCGCCTCGCTATAGCAACAAGAAACACTGGATAAGAGCATCTATAAGGCATTATGTGACAGTTATTCATGGAAACAAATCGCAGATCAATTTGAAGAATTAATCAGGCTTTACGAGAACATACATGCGAGAGCCTCCTTTTCATCCTGGTTGGCTGTCAGTATGGCCTCTTGGATTTGGTCCAGCCACAGCACTGCAGATTCATCACCGGAGCTCTACGATCAGGAAAAAGAACAAAGATCATTCCTCTTCATTTCAGAAGACAAAACTCAAACTCACTCACACAAGGCGTTATTAGTAGCTTGTTCATCGTTTCTAAAATATTTAAAGCACCCAGAACCAAAATAATGTGGAAAGTTTTAAGTTTGTGTACATTTACTGTACCTGAAATATTTTCCAAAGTCAAACTGGGATTGTGGAGATATTTAATAGAGATAATGATCGCATTATAGAGAACCAGTGTCAGGAACCAGTCGAGACAAATAAGGAAAAGTTGACAAAAGATGACCTGCAACCATATCCTAGCCCACCACTTAAAGCGATGACCTCAGTCTATAATGGGCTCAAAAGTCAGAACAAACACAGCATGTTTATTCAGCTTGATCCTTATGTTTGTTCTCAAGCTAATTTTAGACAACATCAAGGGGTGCATCATCGACCACAAGACCATCAGGAAGGAAGTCGCTGTTTACAAAACACTGAAGCTGTCTGAAAGTAAAGACATTACTTGTGCGTTTCACGCACTCCTCATATATTGAGGGTGTCATAAGAGGTAATATTACATGTGCGATGTGATAGCGCAAGCCAGAAGAACATAGCAGTCCTTCAAAAGCAGCACAGCATGGAGGCAAGACAGGAAGAAAGAAAAACACTGTCCTGGGAAACCACTTTACTAAATGACCATCTTCAAGCACACATTTCACTTCCTTTATTGCATTCATGATGTAATTGCTACACATTTTATGTTGTCTGAAAACCAGCTTCTAATTCACTAGGCTGACAAACACCAAATCGCATTTTAACAAAAGTAATAAAACCAAAACCAGTCAAATGTCTTAAATGAACCAAACTCATTGGACAAACACGATAAACAGCTCTGTAAACCATTAAGTAGTTTTTTCCCCCACTCCAGTGATTCAGAGGGCTGTGACTGACGCAGACAGCAGGGAATTCAGTTTTCAAGTCCAGGCAGGAAACATGCTTCTGTATACACTGCCAGGAAGCGGAGTTTGAGCTCACACCATTATCAGCTCGACCGCTGCACTGAAGAGATGCAAAACACAAAGTTTTACTGGTGGAAAACTCCTGACAAGAAGCAACACCAAGAGGGCTGAAGCCTAATTAACTGGGAAATACTGGAATATCAACTTAACGGTGACATGTTTGACCTCATGCCAGGACTACTCATTTGTTTGATGGCAGTGCAGACCAATCAGCTTGATGGTAAGTTTAAGTTAACACATTACTAAAAGGATAACTCTTTAAAAAAAATAAAAAAGCTTAAATCTTGTAGAAAAAGTACATTTTGCTATCCAACAACTGGGAAAGCTCTTTTCCCAACTCAGACTCACAAAATAGAAAACCAAAATTACTTCTTTAAAACAACAAAAACCTTCAGAACATTTTGGTACAAAAGAAAAAAAACTTTTCGCATGAAAGTTTGTTTGAGGGTGTAAAAACTGTTTTCTACTCTTTACAGGAAACAAAAACGGGACCAAAATCCAACCTCACACAGTGAATCCAAGGACCTTTAAGGCCGACTATAATGACACAGGCAGAAACTTGCATGTGAAGCCAGAGGATCCAGTGACAGCCTATACCACAGGGGTGCTCAGCACCTGGGTCATACCCTCATCGTACATCCTGTCTATGCTGGTGGGCATCCCCTCCAACGGCTACATTCTGGCCTTTCTCAGAGTCCGGCTCAGAGCACAGTCCTTTTCCACAGTCGTTCTTCACCTGAACCTGGCGCTGTCTGACCTGCTGCTCCTGCTTTCCCTTTCGCTGCGTGTTCACTACCACTTCAATGGGAACAACTGGATATTTGGGGAAACCTCCTGCCGGCTGATTACGGCTTTGTTTTACGGTAATGTTTACTGCTCAGCTCAGACCATCGCGTGCATCAGCCTGAACAGCTACCTGGCTGTGGTCAAACCATTCATGTACAGGAGACTTGCTACGAAAACACTGGCGGTGTGGACGTGCTTGGTTATATGGTTGCTGTTCGGGGCTGCTGTTGTGCCTGAGCTCCTTGTCAGGCAGAGTTACAACATCTCCCAGCTGGGGATCACAACATGTCATGATGTACTTCCCCTAGACGAAAAATCACACTCCCATCTGGTGCCATATAGGCTGATGCTTATCTGTCTAGGCTTTATAACGCCCTTCCTCTTTTGTATCTATGCCCATGTGGCTGTAATTTACCATCTAGGTCAAAGTGCTTGTGACTGGAAGCCATTTATCAGAGTCAGCACTCTGGTTTTCAGCATCTTCTTGGTGTGCTTCTTGCCCAGCGGCGTCCTGCATATGACCCACTACATCCGCCTGTTTTCCGGTGGGGACGACAGCCTGTATGGATACTTTAGAGTAGCTGTGTGTCTCTGCTGTTTCCACAGTTGTCTTGATCCCTTCCTGTGTATGCTTATTTCCAAGACAGCGGCTTCAGAACTACAATTTATTTCTCTCCGCGAGATATCTCCGAGACAAGCAGTTATGACGTGATACTGGACATGTATACAAAAAAAACAAAACAAAACCCAAGCCTGGACTATTGTTGGAACACAGCAGGAAGTCACAAGGGAAAATGACAAACTGAAGACCGGACATTGTGGTTAACATTAGGCTGTATCCACGTTACATCCAGAATCAGAAACTATTAATGTGGCCATAGTGTCATTTGTTTCCATGTATACTAAAAACATGTTTTATGTGTCATGTTTTGTTCATCTTTTCATTAAAATTATATCCAAAAGTCAACAATACTTTTTGTAAACGATATATCCGTTACTTTAAAATCAAGATTGAGCAATTCAGATAGATATATACATGACCTAATGTAAAGAAGTGACATAGGATAAAAAACTGCTGTATAACAAAACTAACAAGACAAAGTTATGACACGGTTTAAATAATGATTCATGTAGGAAGTGGGGGTGCTTACTGAACCTGCTTTGCTCGCCCTTTCCTTCCAGGGGGAGTCCTCTACCTTCTGATCTTAATCATCATCCCGTGCCTTCTCCTCCCTCCGCTTCTCTGACAACACATCACCCACGCACGTAGGGTCTCAGGGGGGACATGAGCTGCATAGGTTGGTAGGGCCATTCACGTGGCTTTGCTGGCTGTGCAGTCATATGTTTCTCATTTTTAATTACCACACAGTAAGGGTGGGAGATATATCAAATATACTCGATGTATTGCAAGTTTTTCCACTCACGATACTTAAAATGGCTTTATAAATTGCCATGGCAATATTAAGCTGTCTGCATGCAATTCCCTGTGAGGTTTTTTTTTTCCTCCCACATGCTGCACAATCATTAATTCCCCTCCCTCCCAAACAGAAAATTTTCTACCTGGCGCACTGCGCTGAACAAAATGCGGTAATTTGCAAAACGTGCCGTAAACATTTGCCGCAAGAGGAAGCAATACCACAAATTTATTCTACCAGCTGAAAAGTTCTCCACTGCAAAATTAAGACTTTTTAAACTCCACATGTCAACGTCTCCCCACACACCAAAGAAAACATTAAATAAACCAGCTGTGATACTTGTGACTGTTCTATGTCAGTCGTTTTTAAAGTCACTATCTAGACTTTTGTTTCTGTAATTTGAGGTCATCAAATTTTTTATTTTATTATTTTTATGTGTTGTAAGCTCAAAAGAGCACCTTTTTAATTTCAATTGTTTTATTTTGTCTCGTGAATTCTTGCTTGACGTCTTTTGTTTGTTGAAGGTCGAGTGTTGACCACAGAACGAGAACGAGTCATTTATGAAAAACCACACACACGCACACGCACACACACACACACACACACACACACACACACAGAGAGAGCAAAATTCTATAATTCTATATTTGTGTCCCTCCCTCTGTTTTGTCTTTCAGTTGCTGCATATCATTTAAATGTGTGCTTTGTTAGCGAGTTGGAGACCGAAATGCCCGTTTATTTCACCCTTTTTTCTATCTTTCACCAACCTGGAATCACCCCCAGCTTAATACCAACACAGATAATAATATGAATAATAAAATAAAATTAATAATGACCCAAAAACAATTACAAGAGTCTATGCCCCTCTTAGGAAAGCAAATGTGCTTTCCACAATAAAGCATTCAGACCATGATCCTGCTTGCTGCACAGGACCGGTTTAAAAATAAATAAATAAATAAATAAATAAATAAACAAACAAAATAAGGATTCGTTCAGCTATAATGACGTTTTCCACAATATCTAGCTGTGGATGGTGCAAGTATATTTTTCTACTCAAATTCGAAATAACTAAAGAAATGTTCGCCTACCTGGCAGAGAAGTTGTTTGGTATTTTGAAGGACATCATGGTAGTGTTTGGCTGTGGCTGGGTTCACCCCCGACAACTTGGCTGTAGGGAGGAGGAGGGCTGCAAGGGTCTGCTCATGATCACCTGAGTTTAGTGCCTCATTGATCTCAGCTATGGCTATGATTCCTGTAGGTGGAGGACCAAAAAACAAAAAAAACAAAAGCCTCTCAGACAAGTTAAGAGCACAGATTGTGTTTCATTTTTCAGTGTAAGACGATGCCTAAAAAACTGTTCTAAGGTTTCAAACATCTGTAATTTGAGAATATTCCTGAAACAGTGGGAGTATTTTGAGCACCTTTACGTCATGTCCACCTCAGCAAACTGTGTAGTTTTACGCCTTTTTGAGCCTCAAGGAAATTATTTATGTTTGAGCAGTTTGCAGTTAATCGTTTGTTATTCTCAAAATTACAATTTAGATTGGGTGTGATATCGTAGCTTGACTCAGTGTGATGTCTGATATGGTTCTCTTAGCAGACAAAAGCACTTTAAATCACCAGCACCTTCAGGTTTCAGTCCAGGCGTGAGTAATTGTCACATGTCTGTCTGAACTGTACATGTCTGTGAGCTTCTACATGCCTCATCTCTCTCTACGTACAACATATCGCCGTATGTTACTCAACAAAAAATCACTGTGTATTAGTTACATTTACAGCAAGTATCAAATCTCCTGCTTTTATTAAGTGGCCAGTTCTAGTTTTTTTATGTGCAGATATGTCCTAGCAAAGTTTAGAGAACTGACATTGTTTTACAATGTACAAGGAGAAACAAGGAGAAGCCTAATGATTCATTCAGTAGTCACCAAATTGCATAGCAAATTGATTAGCTGCACAGGACAAAACACTTGCTAAAATATGTAAACTAGAAGAGGAAATCAGCAAGACGTTCTTACGTTCATGCTCTTCTTGGACCTGAACATTCACGGTGTCGATGCATTTCTGGACATCATTCCACGTTAGAAACTCTTGGCCCGTGGAAAGCGCCTCAGCTCGCTCTTTGATAAGCATGTCAGAATACCTGAGGAAAGGAGGACTTATGTAACCAGAAATTGTTTGGATGCGCAAATACATTATAACTTAATTTTTAAGTCATAAATAAATAAAAGAAAAAACTATGACATTACAGCAACAACAAAACACTCATGGGTGTAATTTTTGGTGTCCTCATAGCCTGCCCACCACAGCACAGCTGCATTTAGCTCTTTAGCACCACAGCTGAGCAGACAGCAGTGTGGAACCAAGTGTTGTCTGTATTGTAAACTGATAACTTTGTGAAGCAAATCGTTAACCTTATAAGCTTATAAGTGTCCCGTCATACAGTACAGCAGGACAAATGTCTGAGAGGAACCAAAAGTTACACCAACCTGCTACCCATTTTTAGACAAACTGATTTTTGTTCATGTGGTGCATTCAATATACCAAGCAACTAACAGACTAGAAGAAAAATCATCATACAGAAAAAAAAGCTCTGCAGATTTTATCTGGTCAAATTAGTTTTTCTCCCCCTCAAACAACCACCAAAGGGATTTTGGGTTTCTTCCCAGGATGAAATTGGGGGTCTTTCTGTTGTTAGGTGAATGTGTAAATCACTAAAAATTCACATATTGTATGTTCTTGTTAGTATAATATAAATTAAATGCTATTAGGTTAAAACTACCACAATATGGTTGAACTGTTATGTTAAATACCAGGGATTAGTTTTTTAACTATTAGCTGCTGCACAGAGTGACCGAGATAAGTAAAGAGTATTTATTAGCAGTAATTGATAAGAAGTTGGGTAAGTAGTTATATATTAAAACTGCCATAAACATGTTGTAATCCATTCTGCAATAAATCACAATAACTCTTCTTTATGGTTCTCTGTGTTTCCACAGCCTGACTTAAAAGTAGATAATCCACTAAATGGGAACACTGGGGATAAGGTGAGTAAACAATAACACTTCCTTTTGCTTCCTCATCTATCCTGCGGCTATCTTACCTGTTAAGGTTGTCTTGGTCTATGTTGGTAAAGCCCAGAGGAGAGTCTGTTAGCTGCTCAATCACAGCCTGTGGGTCTTTGGTGTCCAGTACTTCATTCAGCACTGCGACAGCTGACAGCATCTCTACAGCTACACTCAGTTCCTCGTGGCTCAGTCCAGACTGAAAAACATAAAATACTGGATCAGAAAATTGTTGCCTGCACAGAGTAAAAGTCTGAAACATGCCTCACCCGTCCCCCTTGTAGCTGCAAACTGAAAAGCTCAGCCTGGTAGAGGTTGGCAGCAGTTTGGTAGACAATTGGCAGCTGTGCCTCCGGGTTCATCAGCTCCTCCACTGTTTCCAAAGCATTGCCCAGGCGAATGGCTGTATTGATTCTTGCAACTGCTTCAAGTTCTGATTAAGAAAATGACAACAAAGTCGTGTTTTACATTATAACTTGGAATCAATTCCCCAAATGAACGAAAACAGTATTTCGTACAACCTTATACATGATGTTCTGAAGGACCTTTAAGAACCCATATTAAATACCTATCATGAGTCGTATTTGGGTGATTAGCTAGTTTGATTTTTAACTCATTAGTAAACAGCCCGAAGTTACAAAAGCCACTTACTTCGTTTCTCTGCTTCAGCAAAGTCATTGCAGGAGCTGACAACTCGCTGAATCTCTTCCTTGTCCAGAATCTGGACCCTTCCACCTTCCTGAAGAAGAAACATTAGATTACACTAAGCAGATATCCAAAAAGACCCCATTAAAGAAATGGCTCGTTTTTCTTTGCATTTTGACTTGATTATTTTTATTATTTGAAGGTGGAGTTAGATATTTCATGTGAAAGCACGCCATTGCTCACTTGTAACAAATGCTTGGATAACAAGAAGACCACAAAGTCTGAAATATGGATCTCTCTCTCTCTCACACACACTGATGGAATTAAATCCAACAACTGAGTAAACAAGCTCTGACTCTGTATACCTTAGATTTATGCTGACAGTAGTTGGTAAAATGTTCCAGATACCACCGGCTGTTTGACTCCTGAACACCGAGCAAGGCCAGCACGTTGAGCCTAAGCGCAGCCAGCAGAGCAGCTTGATCCTGGCTCGACACAGCATGATTCACCTGCCTTATAGCTTCCTGGGCTGGAGACAGGAAAAATAAAGACAGTGAGCAGCTCCTTTTTAACTTTAATATTGTTTTGATTAACTGTGTAACTGTGCTGCATAATCTGATTTAACAGATGTTTAGACCTAATACCCATAAAGGCCCATCTCACACAAAGACAAAAACATCTGCGACACATGACAGTGTTTAAGTGAGAATGTGTGTAAAGCAAACATAGGGAAGCTCTTACTGTTAACAAGATCAATGCATGTCTGGATTTCCTGTTGATTCAGCAGCTCCTCATAAACATCTCTTTCTTCAGCAGCAACTGAGGACCGCTAACAGAGGGAGACAAAGAAAATATAATCACATTATATGCATATAATTGTTAAAAAAAACAAAACAAAGCGCACTATATTTTAGCAGGTTGTATTTACTGCCTCCCATTCTCATTTAAATTGGTGTGGTAATATCAATTAAAAAAAAGAAAAGAAAAGAAAAGCTAGTGCTACTGTCTGCACAGCGTTTGTAAAGAGAATGGGAGGAGAGGTGCTGGATGGCGTGGAGCGTTAGGTAAATACAGCTTACAATGCAGTCACTGGAATGTGCTGGCAAAGCCTGTAGAGCACATCAGCGCAGGCAACCATTTTCAGATGTCCGTGCAGTTCTCGAGTTAATATAGCTGCCACATACATATCACACTTCTTTATATTCCTTTGGAAAATGTCTCAAATAACACACATGATTCAGAAATTTCTAGAAACTACATTCAGACGTACAGCTCTTAAAATCTGTCTGTGGTCAGCACGTGTGCTCTTGAACACAGAAAACATGTCAACCTCAGCAGCAGTAAGAGGTGTAACTTAATCAAACCTGCTTACATGGTTCAAGGTTGGTTCAGGTTAAAGGGGTGAGGACAATTTTAACAAGGCTGAAGATGAGAAAGTTGCATTGTTTTATTTTTTCCATCTAAAAAAGAATTAAAAAACAATTATAAACCAAACGGTGGCTCTAAAACCAAGGTGTGAACAGTCGATAGAAAATATTGATGGATCCCCTCCAAGATGATGTTTTCCCAAAGTACAAACCTTATGAGTGTTTATAACACTCATAATTCCTTTGCCTCAGTGTACGCTGGTAAGCAATCAGAATTGCCTATTCTCAGTCTCTGATACAGCACAACCTGTTTTATGACTCAGCAGTCCAGTCTATTCTAGCATGCAGCTACATTTTAAAGCATTAAGACTTTAGTGTAGAGCTAGCCCTGCAGCTAAGATAAGATATGCTTACCAGCGTACACTGAGGCAAAGGAATTATGAGTGTTATAAAAAGGAAAAAGCTCCAAGAGA